TACGACCATGGGCATTATTTCCCACCCTTAAAAATCATTGACACAGGAAATAATAACACAATTACCTCCCTTGTTTTCCTATTGCTCCATGCATTTTAGTTACCTTCAAACGTTCGAATTTGAAGTTGAAAATGGATATTTTTGCCAATTTCTCAGCTGGCAATAGTGAATTATAGGATTAATAGGATTATTCTTTAACAAGGTATGATGGTTTATGGATACCATCTATTTTAAGGCTTTATTTTAATAAATTTTAAAAATATGAAATTGTAGCTTTAAAACCATGTAGAATAGCTGTATATACCATAGTTTGTATCATAACGGTAATTTAAAACCATATAGAATATTAATATTTCTCTATTACATGTATAATGGTTATTTAAAACCATGTAAAAATGAATGTTTTATAATAATAATAATTGTTTAAAACATTTGAAACTAGACACCAGTTAAAATGAAATCCTGTATTATTAATAAAACATAACATTGTTTATGATATAAATATAAAGATGTTAATGAAGTTGAGTGTTTTTTTCACCTTCCCGCTGTGAAGTAGCTCATCAGATAACATTAACTAGATCATTATACATACCATTACATCATTATAACAGTATTAAGATAAAGGATGTATTTCAAGTGAAATGACAGACATGCAGATTTATTATTACCCCCCGTTATGATATTATTCTCCCTTACTGATGGTAAACCATTATTACATCTATACTAATATTTGTGACTGTCGTTTGTCTGTTCAGGGTTGGCGGCTACACCAAGGCTGTCTCGAGACTGTCTAGTCGTTCGGATGGGACGAAAAACCGAGGTCCCGTGTACACATTGGCGTGCAGGTAAAATATACCTTGGCAGTTGGAATTCGATATACGAGTAGGCCGTAGCGCCGCTGCCCGGGCAAAATTTCCTTCATTATACACTGTATGGCGTATGCCCGTCTTCATTAGCCCAGGTTAGGAGCAGAACAGTAGGGCGTAAAACCTCATTTCATGTCATTTCATTTTCATTTCGTAACCAACATCTTAACTTGTTTATACCCCGCCTCAAACTTGGGAGAACATACTAATTCGTTGATTATATACAAAAAATTCGAACAAAAATGCAATGCAAACAAGACGCGGTCGGGGTTGAGACTATTATTAAAGGTATTACATGTATGAATTGTGTGTACCTCTGTAGACCACAATATTACACCACAATATATATACCAAGCCTTAAATCAGTTTCGCACATTTATGGTCACTAAATAAACGGTCATGTTGTATTTAATAAGCTATGGCCATTTAACCATCCATAAATAATAGACTGAAAAATAGTTACGAGTGTCGGCCATAACATCCTTTCGCTTTTGAGAAAAAAATAGGTTACGTGCCCATGTTTTGAAATTAGTCTCGCATAACCAGTCTACCGACCATTCTCTGTTTGATTGGCCGGCCGGGTTAATCAAGACTATTTTTTTTACGAAACATAATTGGAAGCTGGAACAAGAAATTGATTTTAGAAACATATGCACATTAGGCAACTCAACAATTGTTTTAAGAACCTTGTAAAAGTAAAATGAAACTACTGCTAGTATCATCTCCTTGCCTAACCCGAGTGTTTTAGAGATATTATTTGTACTAAACAAAGAGATGACGCTTCTAGCGGTATAGTTAATGATAAAGTAATTTAAAAAATAAAACGAACAAAATTTCTAAAGCTGCTGTAATAAACAAAAGCTAAATATTACTGCTATTCAGAATCGTCAACAGTAGATTTTTTACGGTTGTAATAGTTGATAGATGTGTAGAGAATTTCCCGTGCGATGGTTATTTATAGACTCATAGACTCATGCGCTGAGTGTTATCGTACTGCGTAACTAGCCAGAAATCACTGCGAGATAAGCCACTGAAGCGTGCACATTCGCCGTGTCGAGTTCAACTTTCAGTAGGGAACATTTTCGCTGCACGGGGCACCCTAACACTGGTGTCATATACCCTTGATTCCTAAATTACTCAAGTGGCAAATCAGCCTTTATTATATTAGCCTTTTACAAAATCAAAACCTATATGTCTCGCCCTTACCTTGAAGTAATTAATTAACGGGTACGCCTAGAGGAAACAAAACACCTTGTTTTGGTCGAAACGTCTATTTTTTTAAGTGATTAAGTTCTGTTTTTTTTTTTCTTTCTTTCTGTTCTATTTTTGTCAAAGAATTTGTTACGCCTCAACTGTAACGTAAAAATAATTAGCCAGAATTACTGTTTGATATAGATAGTTAAAGAGCTGTGTTTCTTACAGAACATTAGATCTACATAAAGCGATGCCAAGTTTCTTCGCAATGTTTTATTTATTTAGGTGATTTGGAAGATACTTATTGAACTCTGTGATAGAATATTTGAATCTCTCTAATTCAGCAAAAAATACACCAAACAGCAATCACTATACTCATTGACTTGGATTATTTTGTGTTCTTCAAGAATCTATTTTAATTAACAAATGTTGGATGCTACATTAGGGCTGTACCGTGGCTGAAATGTTGGTTATAGAGAGAGAAATGGGGTTTAACGTCCACTCGACACAAACTAGGTCATTTCGGGACTAACATATGGTTTTTAATTTTATTTCAATAATTCCCTTGCGCGTAGGGGTCTTTAGCAGTGGGAGAAAACCGGGGGAACCGGAGAAAACCCACTAGGTTGGACAGGCGACCCTACTCCTTGTCACGTACAACCGGGGATTCGAAATCACGCCAGTTGACTCAATAACATGCTTTATGCTATAGCGCGCACGTGCTAACCATTCGTCCATCCAACCCCCCTAAAATGTTGGTTATATGGGCACCTCGAGGGATTTGGCGCAATGGTTAGAGAGTAGAATTTGTGACCGAATGGTTGCAGGTTCGAGACCCGAATTGTGCGCCGAGTTCTTGTGTCCTTGAATAAGACACTTTATCCCTGTATTCCAGTCTACCCAGCTGTAAATGGGTACCGGTAGGATGGTGTATGTATTATACAAAAAACTGTTGCGCTCCTTGAAACAGCATATGTTGGGGCTCTTTCCAAGAGTTCAGGGGTAAAGGGAGGTAATCTGGCTTTACCTGTATCCTAGAGACCGGGATAATAATTGTGTAGCGCTTTGAGCATAAACTTGGTTTATGGATATAGCGCATTATAAATATACTCATTATTATTATTATTATATACTATTCAAAAAAGTAGGGGATATTTGATTTTTAAGTGTTATTAAAGTCACCTAATGAAACTGACGAAGAAACAAATGACAAAATGAAATGAAGTTCACATTCATCGATTTATTCCAAATGATCGTTAGACTAAGAAAGGCACAGACTGACCATTATAAGGGTAAAATGATACCCGGGGTCAAACAGCAAAGTTACCACAGCATCACAACCAAGTCAGTAACGGGTAAATCCTCCTCTGTTTGCCAAACAAGCATTGATCCGACGTGGCATACTCCTAATGAGACGTCTAAGGTCATTTTGGTCCAGATTGTCCCATTCCTGTTGCAACGCAGCAGCAAGTTCTTGGACATTGGCAGGACGTTGTTGACGTTGACGTAACCTCTGTCCAAGCATGTCCCAGACATGCTCGATGGGGGAGAGGTCGGGACTCAGTGCTGGCCAAGGTAATGTGGTGATGTTCTGTTGTTGGAGGTAACCTGTAACGATCCTGGCCCTGTGACATCTTGCGTTGTCATCCTGGAAGATGAAACGGCGGCCATGACGTCGTGCGAACGGCACAACATGGACTGCCAAGATGTTGTCCCGGTAGTACTGGCCTGTAACACGCCCTGCAACAACATGTAAAGCCGTTCTTCCAGCAACAGTGATGCCTCCCCACACCATAACAGAACCACCCCCAAATCGATCATGTCTGATGACGTTAACGTCTTGGAAGCGCTCGTTTCGACGACGCCACACCCTCCTACGTGTGTCCAAAAAATCAATAGTGAACCTTGACTCATCTGAAAATATCACATTGCTCAAGCGTCGATTATCCCAGTGTTGACGATCCCTACACCAACGACGTCTTGCCTGAATGTGATGATCTCTCAAACAAGGGATCACGCGAGGACGTCGGGCGCGAAGGTGACCCCTATGCAGTCGATTCCGAATCGTCTGGCCACTCACTCTCACACCAGTGTCTGTTTGAAGACGAGCGCTGATCTGATTTGCTGTGATGACACGATTTCTCAAGGCCAAGGTACGGATAAATCGATCCTGGGCTTGAGTTGTCGCCCTTGGTCGACCTGAGCGTGGTCTGTCCTGTACAGATTGTGTATCACGGTATCTGGACCATAGCCTGCTTATGACTGACTGAGAAACATTCATCGTCCGCGCCACAACCGCCTGTGTTGTGCCGATCTGTAGCATGCCAAGGGCACGTAACCTTTCATTTTGGGTAAGCCGACGCATATCAAAATTTGTTTTCTGGTCACTAAAACAATTAAACTGAAGTTTCCACCCTGGAATTCAATGCCACAATGACTGTAACATTCAAAGTCAGAGTCGTGCTAATCTTGGGTTGGACCCCCATGATGATCCCAAGCATCACCTGCATTCCATGCGGTAGCTATTGGTGCGTTTGGGCGTCACATGTAACTGGAAATGTTTCTTCTGTTAGGTTCTATAGTGACTTTTTTCGTAGTCATTTGCATATTTTAGTATTATGCCCCCAAAATCAAATATCCCCTACTTTTTTTGAATAGTATATATTATTTGTCGGAGTTCTACTAATTCCGGTTTCACGAAACTCTTATAAAGAATCTATCGTTTTATAATTGTACACGGTTTTAGAGGACCGCCACGGGTGTGTTCTCTATCGGCGGGAATATCTAATCAGTCAGTGGCTTTTAGTGATTGAGCACTATACTTATCGATAGATGTACAAGATCAGCAATAACACAATGGTGACATATCATATAGATAGTTATAGTAATACAAATCATTATAGCTAAATCATCATTAACATTTATTTTCCTGTTTTTCAGATTTTTAGAAGATTGACGTTATCCACGTAATGATGAGTTTGATTGACTCCCCGGGGGAAATCCCCGATATAAACAATACGAGTATGGAATATGTACGACTAAATGACAGCGACTATTTACACGATGGATTAAGTATATATGAAGTGTATGCACCAGAAACTGTTTGGGTTGATCGTTTGGTCACACCCTTCATGTACGCTATCGGATTTCCTGGAAACATTCTCTCTTTGATCGTCTGGATCCAGAAGCGCATGCGTCATTCGTCTGGATGTTATTTAGCAGCTTTAGCACTGGATGATCTGATCTTTTTGTGTCTCCATGTTATTTATGAACTTCAAACCACGTGGAGGATCAACGTTCTAAACGTGACGATCGTGTGTCAGTTTTATCCAGTCGTTTATATGGCTGTGCAGTATTTATCTCCCTTGTTGGTGCTTGGGTTTACGGTGGAGCGATACATTTCGATATGTCACCCGTTTAAAAGAGAGAAATATTGTACCACAAAACGTGCGAAAATGGTGATTATATTTCTGACGCTACTGACTTTCTCTATGAGCAGTATTCAAGGCTATTTTTACACGTTAGACGTTATAGACGCCAACACGACTGATTGTGGACCGCGAGCGGTGGTCAGAAAGGGTGGAACCTCCTCTCTATTTAGTGTATGGAATATCTGTGCGGAAATGTGTATATTTCTTGGAGTTCCGTTAACTGTCTTGTTACTCAACATGCTTGTGATACGCGAACTACGTCGACTGTCGAGAGTCGAAACACAGCAGTTACACTGTCGTACACAGAGGACCTCGGCGACAACCATTATGTTGCTAGCTGTGTCTTTTTATCAGATTATTACCACTCTGCCTGTAACTATTGTATATATTCTGTTCTTTGAGTTTCCACCTGGTTCATATGCAGTATATACACATCGTGTCCTCGCCGATCAGACCTGGCATCGTCACTTCCGTTACGTTTTGGCTGAGACTATAACCAATGAGTACGGAACGACGCACTATGCATTTAACATATTCATTTATCTAATAACCGGTAAAATGTTCCGTCGAGAAATACAGAAACTTTTATGTTGTTGTAAGCGTTCTAATATATCTAATCCATCCGAATATACCAGTTTACGTAGTTCACACGGACGAGCAGGCAGCACCCGCGTCGCATCGGCATGGACATCTGTTAACGGTCATAATGGCACTCGTAACGGGAAAGATAGTGAGACTAAAGTTTGAGCTGTGACGTTGCTGTTTTTGTTGTTTACGTGCCTTACGTACCAGTGGCTTATATAAATTACATATTATAGTGCTCGTAGTTATTGTTTTCATTAGCTTTAAACTCACACCATAACAACCACAACAATACTGGTTTCTATGTGTATTTTAAACTGACATTTAGTGGAAAATAAAAATCAGTACATCATGCAATTCTTTTGATTAACGACCATCGAGTGAAGCGTGTTGTGGTAAAAGTTACTAAAGGGACATAACTCTGTTCCTGTTGTGATTCAACAGGATGCAGACCAGCATCTAAGTGCACCGTCTGAGATACGCACCAATATAATAATTCCTTTCTATTTGTAATATTTCTCGCACAAAGAGACAGGGATTAAAATAACGCCAGTGAGAGACGTGTTTGTGGTCTGCATTCAAGAAAAACTCAATTCTGGAATTTTTCCATATCGATATCATTATCCTATGCTAACGCGGTGATGTAAACCGCTGTGGCCAGCTTCAGTTATCTCGTAAAACTCCCGATTATCTTTTAACTGGAAAATGACTCACTTTTTTACGAATACTGTTAAATCCTAGCACAAATTTAAACTCTAAACACGTGAAAAGGCTGGATTCTTCACATTTTATAATTCACGTTTTCGCAAATACTAATTTCGTACCTCAATCTGAACATCACTGACAATACCGATTATGCAACAAATCTCACTTACTTGCCCACGTGTCACGAATAAAGACTAACGAACTAGCGTTCTGTTGTTCTGTTTTTTCTTGTCTCCCGCCATTTAAAGAAAGCGGTGATTTTTTAGAATGGGTTAGTTTGGCTGGTGTTTTATTAGTAGGCTAAGCAGCTGTCTGTCTGCTCATCTGTGCTTTGCAACTTTAGGTACGCTATAACTCTAATTACGGTAAAATGTATATATTTGGTGCTCAATTTATACTTGTAACATTCTCTATAAATATAAATGGTGCCATGTCTATTTAAAACTACATAATAAAAACTTAATTTAAAATATTTTAAGAATTCGGTTGAGAGAAAACAATTCCAGTATACATTGCAATTCTTATCCAATGAAAAGACTGAATCCTTTAAATATTAAGGTTAAGTTTCTGTGACTAACGACTTTATTATACACCCACAGTGGTTGTCGTCTCTATCATCCGTTCATCGGTCCGTATGTTCGTCCACGCTTTAGAAGCTGAAGTTATCACCCCGTACGATCAATGTATACATACTGTTTATAAAATGTTAGAACTAGAAGCTAATCAAATTGTATTATTGATGATAATTACTAAAGGATGATTTAGCTGTTCTGGGTATATGTTGTATTTTCCTAGCAGCCTAGCAGCCTAAATCTTCTAAACGGAATATATCGGATAGTTTGGCTACGAACAAAGCGGGGCTCTGGGCCTGACTAGAATCGCGGGGCCCCTAACGCGACGAAAAGATTATTTCATATCCTTTTGATGGTTGAGGGATAGCCCAGTCTCCGCCCTCCCGCTGCTAGATCGATTACCGTGAAACTTTCATCTGGAATTTGAATTTGTTCTCTGTTAGTCATGAACCGCGGGCCCCCCTAAACCCTAAACGTAACGAGGTTACGAACTGGTATAAATCATGTGATATATTATGTAATCATTCGGTTACCATTACTGCATCCATAGCGTAAGTCGGGGAGTAGTCAGGCCGACGGAGAAGGTCGATCATTTCATCCGGAATTCTGAACTCGATTATGGTTCACGATTTTATGTGGGGCTGTTTAAATCTCCACATAAGCAGCGGCTTAGGATGATGGAGACACTTAGTTCGTGATATTTCCTAGTGTCTTTAGAAATATAATATAATAGAATCACACAATCCTGAGAAAGATAATTTAAGTTATTGTAAATAGATCACAATTTATCATGACATAGGGAGGCAGACCACCATTAAATTTCACCATCTCGGTACCCACAAATTGTAGTTCGTCTATTTATAACAGTTCTCTCGCTGTCTCTTTTCTCCCCTTTGATATGCCCATTTTTGTTGATTTTTGGTCTAGAATGGACGAAGAGGGTTTGAATTAACATTTTCTGCCAGGTTTTGGTAAATATTCATGATTATGAAGCGGAAGGATAACGGGGTTATCAAGTTGGTTACGTCGATATGTACGGCAACTAGTTACATGTTTTTAGTATGCTTCTTGAAGTTTGTGTATCTCAAAATTTTGGTGGTCAACCTCATACAAATTTTAGTGCAGAGGCATGACCATTTGTTCCTTTGTGTTTAGTGAAAAGCATTCAGCCCAACGAAAATTTTGGGAAAAGTTGGAGGTGGGCAAAAGGGCCAGAATTAACATTGAAGTCAATGGGGAAATTAATGGTGGTCTACCTCCTATATAGAAGGCGTGTTCTGAACTTTATTATGTCTCCAAAACATCCCAAACTGTTCGACACCGCTTTGTCTTACACCGCAGTGACTTTAGATATTGGCCGATTTATGTACAGCGCACTATTTGAGATATATTCTTGTCAGTTGATTATAAATGTTTCATCATGTAGACAAACGGGAATTACATATAATACACAACGCAGTTATTTTTGCCTGAAGCCGTACTTAACGTGATTGTGATTTTGTCGTGTTTGTAAATACAATATTTGATAATTACAATCTGGATTAAACTTTATCTTGTGATCAATAAACTTGGACTATCAAGGGGAATGTTTACTATCGATTATTCTGTCGTCAACCTGGACTATCAGGAGCAATGTTTTTGACCCAGTGTGGCAATGTTTACGACCTATTATGCTGTAGTCAACATGCACTATCAGGAGCAATGTTTACGACCCAGTATGTTGTAGTCCACCTAGACTATCAGGGGCAATGTTACGACCTATTCTGTGATAGTTCACATGAACTATGAGGGGAAATGTTTACGACCCAGTATGTTGTAGTCAACCTGGCTGTATCTAATTATTAATTCAGCATAATATAAATCATGTTATCCAACTGACCTCTTCTTGTCTTTTATATTAACCCATTGTTGGCATGGAGGCGTGGGTGGGGCATGGTTCGGATGGAGGCGTGGTTAGGCATGGTTCAGATGGAGTCGTGGGTGGGCATGGTTAGGATGAAGGCGAGTTTGGGACGGAGACGTGGGTGGGCATGGTTCGGGTGGAGGCATGGTTAGGATGGAGGCGTGGCGTGGGTTAACATGGTTAGGATGGAGGCGGGGCGTGGGCATTGTTCAGATGGAGGCGTTGGTGGGCATGGTTAGTATGGAGGCGTGGGTGGGCATGGTTGGAATGGAGCCGTGGGTGGGCATGGGAGTCGAATGGTGTACCGTGTAAACATTCGATCAAGTCGGTCATTAGATCAAGTGACGTGACAGGGAGAAGGGCCGCTTGCAAAACCTCGTGGTATTTGTCCTCCCGTCCCGCCCCAAGTGAATTTTGAAATAATATTGTACTATGTGTTAAACCAAAATGTCCTAGCTGGTGTCGGGTGGATGTTAAACACCATGATAGCAAGTTCAGATACTGTATGACGTGATGGTTACTTACCCGTTTCCATGGTAGCTACATGTAGACTTTGAAATGAAATGAAATGAAATGGAGTTTAACGTCCTACTGTTAATGTAGACTTTAAAGCATACATTAAGTTGGCTGAAGTTCTTTTTGTTAGCGATGAGCCCCTCAAATTCGCAATACACAAGCAATACAATACAGACCAACATATGTTAGTCTCAGAAGGACATATTCTGTCGACGAAACACTTGTTTCATTGGGTGGAGCCACGGTGGCTACGCGAGTAAGGCGCTGGCTCCTACATTGGCCGAGGTTTCCCCTTGTCAATGGTTCAGGACGGAGGGCCCGACAAGGACAGTTGTCTGGTCGTTCGGATGGGGCGAAAACCCGTGGTCCCGTGTATATATTGGCGTGCACGTAAAAGATCCCTTGGCAGTTGGAATTCGATATAAGAGTAAGCCATAGTGCCACTGCCCGGGGCAAAATTTCCCTCATAGCACACTGTATGGCGTATTCCCGTCTTAATTAGCCCAGTATATGAGTAGGACGTTAAACCCTATTTTTATTTCATTTACTGTTTCAATGGCATGGCCTTTGGGAAATTCTGTGTGAAGAATAACACATTCACTGTGGGAGACTGGATAATAGTGACATAACAAAATGGAGGGTCTGCTGATATTAAGGTGCGACGGAATCTTGAAAAGATGTTACAGACTTAGATATAGCACTAAAATAACATTACATAAAAACACATACTTATGGAAAAACAGCTACTTATTTATTTGGACAATGTAATTAAAACACACATCCTATTTCATTTCGTTTTATAGTTCAAAATTTCGTTTTACTTGTCTTTAGTACACTAGGATCTGGAAGAGTTGTTACCTTAGACGTGTTCTGGATGATGTGAGGAATTAGCCAATGAAACGGTCTGTTACGGCGAGTTCTTGACCTTTTGATGCACGGAACTGTGGGTAAACCACTAGAAACGTCTACGCTGGTTGATTAATCAATGTCTGACGCCATAGGGTCAAAACCCGCTGACATGAACTCCCACTATAACGTGTCAGATCTTCACGTAGTATAGGCCATCGAAAATAAAAAAAAAAAACGAAACGAAATATAGATCTGTATTTTAATCAGATTGGTATTTGGGCGACGTTTTGAAGAGTGTTCTCTCAACGTTATCAAGCTAATACAGTAATACAACAAGTAATAGAAGAATTATGAGATCAATATAAACAGACAAACTACAACAACAATTCATGAAACCATACAGGACAACAACAAGATCAAAAGGGGTTATTCTACACTAAGGTTAAGTGTAAGTAAAGTTAAGCAATTGAGTAACTATGATGATTACCGACAGAATTAAATAGTACCTACAATACAATTATGATATGGTATGTTTAGATAATGGTAATTAACTTGAAGCAACTATCATATCTCTGTGACATTGGTGTCGATTGTAAAATAAATAGTGGTCCTGATTCATTTGATTCCATAGTTTCAGTAGAGTTGTCTAACTTGATACAGATACACATATAGTTGGCTTCATACATCTGGTACAGTAGTAACAGAACACAGTTGTTATGGGATACAATCAATAGTTTTATTCTAAAAGCACGACGTTTCGACAAGTATCCTCTTATCGTTATCAAGCACAATGACATTTAGTAAACTTGAGGTCAATATATACAAAATTATTACGACCATCTAAGCTACAGGTACGAACTAATTAGTGTTCTTACACCATTTGGTACGACAGTACGGACAGAGTTGTCTACCTTTATATAAATACGCAGCTTCAGCATAACGCGTACGAAACAATTTGCCACAGTACACCATTAATTTTTCCACAGACTTTGCTGTTAAATCGCGACTCGTCATTTTTTCACAAATTTTCATTAGGTTGACCATTTTCCGTTGCAGATGGAGGATCTTGCCTCAACCTCTTGCTCATAAGCACGTGTGGGTTTCCACATGGAAAAGAGTGAAACTGGAAAAGGGAGAGAAAAACTAAAATAGAACAGGATTACATTCGTCGGTAGTATCGGTACATTTGTTTACTATCGCACTGCCCAATCGAGCACCTGCATGACCCGTCTGAAACAAAAGTGGTCTTGATCCAGATGGTACAGTAGTATCATTAGAGTTGTCTATCTGCATATAATTACACAGCTTCAGTCAATCCGTGACTTTGTCTGGAATACGTTTTAGATCGTCTACTATTGCGTCAAGTGGCGTGGTGTTAAGCCCCAGCTGGCACGTGGCAAGGAATAGGGTCGACTGTTAAACCTCGTGTGTTTTCTCCGGGTCCTCCGGTTTTCTCCGACTGCTAAAGACCCCTACGCGCAAACGAATGATTGAAGTTGAATTGTACAATAACAATATCATTTAATTATTTCAATAATACATATATATATAAATATGAATGGGGGACGCAATTCACTTTAACTTGCGTTGACCGGCCAACCAACGAATTATGAATTTTTATTTCTATCTAGCCCTGAAAACGAATCTTTTCCACATAAATCTGTTTTAATATTACGATGATCTTAATCGTTATAACCACTTTTAAATAGTCCAACAGGTGACAATCATCTGATTAAAATATTAAAGGAGGGTGACCATCAACTAAGTCTATAGACCTAATCGTTTTGTACGTAATTCATGTCTGTATGTTTTATCTCTGTGTTGAAATACTGTATTAAATCTGTGAAACCACAAAGGAGTCACAATCATCAGATTAAAATATTGAAAAGAGGCTGTGATGTCATTTTAGCACTTCCCGATCCTTCCGCATGAAGATCATGAATATTCACCAAAACCAGGCAGGCGCTGTTCATTGATTCTAGAATAACACGTCAACACTAAATGTCATTGAGTGGGCTGTGTTGCTTTTGTTTAGCACCAGTTTAGCCACATTATTCAATTGATTTTCTCATTGACTATAATATCAGTTGTCGTCTCTTTAAACAGCTTTTTACGACATATGAATCACCACGTAGCCATGCCTTGTTTAAATGCGTGTGTGGTTCTAGCACGGACATCTTTAGACGTAGCATACCGCTATCATCTTTACATTGTAACGTAACCAACTCTGGTATTCTCTCGCCTAAAAATCATGAATATTCGCCTGTTATTTTTTCTTTAAATAAGACAACATTGCTACCAAAACTTCACGAGCAAAGCAAATCAACAGGTTATTTCTATTTTAAACAGTCGAAGTGAGCACTAATATTGTAAATAATGGAGCTACATGTGCTTTTCAATAAAACTGAACAGACAATGGCTCGTTCTGCTGTGGTCTATTTATTTATTTCGATAATTTTCAAACCCCGAAATCTTTTATTCTTCCTTAAATATATTTGATTGAAAAAATGACAGCTGACCAGTACTGTGTAATAATTGTTTCAAATATACTCTCTGGTCTATTATGGGGATAGACGCTACCCATATTCGGTAGCTACCAATAAGAAAAGGTTATCGATATTTGATTCTGCCATCATTCTAGTAGATTACTCAACATTCGATACCCGCATCAACTTGATATGTAGCTGTTTATTACAAGTTCAATGTCCAATAAATTATAGCCTATATATATTATCGTCCGGTTGATTTAATTAAAATTATTTACACATGCAGAAGATAAAACTGAAATGAAATGAAATGGGATTTCACATCCTGCTGTTCTGCTCCAGCTGGGCTAATAAAGACCTCCCCCCCCCCCCCCAAAAAAAAAAAAAAAAAACATTTTAAAAATTCTTGTACAAGCAAATGAGTTAAAGTAGCTAAGTCTCTAACTCAATATCATCCGAATTATTTGTCAATTCAAATCAACATTGATGTTGTGATCTTACCAGGAAAAGGCAGGCTTCTGATATCCAATATTTAAGACAAAATAAACATTTTACCATTGGTACACGAATCGTGTATCATAGTGCATTTTAGCGTCATTTGTAACAAGTGACCAGAAAGAACGAGGCTAGACATATTCAACTGGAGAGCCTGCTTAATAGACTGGAATAACCAGACGCTAGAAATTGCTATAGGGTTGAGACACATGCTGTATTTCGCTGGACATAACTGATTTGAAATTATAGTCAAAACGGAAACATTTGAATGTGAATCAGTTTATATACAATCAGATTACATTATAATATGCGTTTCAACCCAGTTGTGTCAATTTCT